ATCTATCTATCTATCTATCTATCTATCTATCTATCTATCTATCTATCATTGCGCACGCGTAATCTGCACAATTATGACGCAAAACGAAAATAGAAACACTCTCCATTTGAATGATTTATTTTTATCTTTGATGACTTATGGCTTTGTGAGAATTGTTTTAAAAGGGCAACGAATATCTGAGCTCTGTGGTCCGTTCCATGTCAGGGGGAAATAACAGTCCTTTCAGGATTCTTTACGTAAAAAAAGTTTGTTTAAAGTGCTGAATCTCGTTTTTCCTACACGTCCCAACGCTCATTCAAAGCTCCCGAGGTATTAATTAATAAGTTAATTGCGAGTGGCAAAAGTTAAGGGTTTTTCTGTGACTGACAGTTTTAGCGTCAGAGTTACACACCCTCCAGAAAACGCTCAGCTCAGTTATTAATTTTTAATTTATTTTTAAAATCCACCTTTCTCATGGGGACTTCATGCTATTGTCTCCGGTTTGGGATGAAGCATCACTTCAGAGCAAAGCGGCCGGGTCAGTTCCTCATTTACATACTCACCATCCCTAAAAAGTGCTGAAAACATATCTGTCAAAAGGCAAACGCAGAGCACAAATGCCGAACATCTGCTTTGCTGGCTCGCTCCGGGGACCTGTTAATGCTGATCCCTGCACCCGCTCTGATGAGGAATTCATCAGGCTTCTGACACCCGGCCAGATGTTGGGGAATTACCGCTGTCTCCTGTTGGACACCCTACTAATAGAAAGTCTTCACGCATGTGCCTAGCCATAAAGAACCGTTATTTACTGCCTGCTGAATGACGAGACGAGAGATTTCTTTCTATCACAAATATTGGTTAATATCGGATTTTTGTTATTCATATATCATTCAGCTGAGGGTATTTGTGGTTAGATAGTCGAAACACAAATACGGACTCTTTTCCTCCTTTTTCTCTGTGTAAGCTTTAGTGAAATACACACAATACGAACTAATAATCAACTTTTGATCGTTCCAGAGTTTCCCTCGTCTCTGCGGTAAAAGTGCCTGCAGGCTCCAGTATCACGTTTGGGTATGTAAATGCCCCTTATGAGTCAATTGAAGAATAATTTAACAGGAACACAAAGCCATTATGGTAATCAGCTTGCATCACAAAAGCCGCGAAACACCTTAAGATATAAAGACACACCGTGGATTAAGGTACTTTGTGAGTGCATATTCAACACCCCGCTGGAATTGAAATAGGCATCGATAATTGGCAAGCACGTCAACTTCCGAGAGAATGGAAGCCCTCAGTTGATGATCAGATATGCAGATATTTGTTTAGAAAGCCAACTTTTGCTGTATGATGTTAGAAATGCATCTAATTTAGTCTAATTGGTTCGTTTAGTGTCGAAAGTCTCCGGTTTCTCTTGCGGGCGCAGCGTCTTGATTAAAGATAGGAAATCAGCAGTGTTCACTTGTTTCCTTGTTGTGTTAAATCACGCGTTTCAAACTCATTTACACTTTCTCAGACGGGCGATTCTGTTCACAGTGCGTCACTTTGGCGATTTGGTGTACAGATGGGAGGAATGGTGCTATCGGTTGCGTCCACTGCCAGGTGTCCCCCTGAACAGAATGCCACCGTTTCAGGAGCAGAGCCGACGTGCCTTTGAGCAAAATACGGCGTCAGAGCTCGTAAGTGGCTTCTAAGTATGAACTAAAAGCTCCAAAAGTAAACAAACACTCTCGCGTACAGCTTCTATCTCCCGTACTCTGGCTTACTTTTGACTGAACAGAGATAAAGTGTGTGTAGGCTGTGGGGCTCCGAGCAAACAGTCAATTCTAACTGAGGAGAAATTAGCCTCTGGATTTGTTAAGATCACAGCCTCGGTTGCGTGACAAAAGGCTGCAGGGACTCGCTTGTGTCAGTTTATCCTCTTAGAGCACACTCTCCCGCTTAGCCAGCAAATGCTCTGCGACGGAGGAGACGGGGCTGGAGGGGTTACGGCTGACCAATCAGTCCTGCGGTCAGCCTGAGCGCATGGCGCGTGCGGCAGTGCAACTCAGTTCTATTTTGTGTGTGTGTGTGTGTGCGTGTGTGCAGAGTACACAGCCACCCCCCCCCCCCCCCCCCACAGTGCTCGCCCCCCCCCCCCCCCCCCTTCTCCGCTGCTCCGAAAAGGTTGTACGGACAGGGAGAGATTAGGGCTGCTACTGCCGCACACCGCAGCCCCAGATAGCGATGCACGCGCTAACCTGACATGAATGAGCGCTAATTCACAGTCTGGACACTGTACACAGCCGCGGGTCTGCACAGCTGCATCCACGTGACCGTCGCTGCTTTCTAATCCATTGAGAATCCGCCAGGAAAAAAAGAAGCCTTTCATGTTTTTTCTCTCTTTTTTTTTATCTTCCCTTCTGAATCGTATAGCCACGTCTTTCACCACGAAAAGGACCCCTTGCATGCCTTACTGAAAGCTTTAAATAAAAACATGCAGAATTAGATCTGGCTGACACATTTGTGACCCAATTTCACATCATTTTGGCGTGCAAGGAAAGGATCAGAGAAAAGAAATGTACACATCTTAAGGTTGCATTTATTTAGCGTCTTTTTCTCATGCTGATCACCAGCTGCCGGCCAGAAAAAAAAAGCAGGTTCTTCTCCTTTACGCACGTCCCAAATACGTGGGTTAAAGTGCCGATTCCGTGGAGGACCAGCACCGTGTTTCAGGGAGAAGCCGGGTCTCGGTTTTTTGACGTCACGTTGTCTGAAAGGAGGAACTTGAAATGTGCGACTAGACGAGTCGGGAAGGGAGGGAGGGAGGCAGGGAGGAGGGAGAGATGGGGAGGGAAAGGAGGGGGTGAAAAGAAATTAAATCAAACGGAGTGCGAGGGGTGCGCTTGCGCAAAAGTAAGAATCAAAAACAGGATTTCTAGTCAATACATCAAAATCTTTCCATAGTTAACGGATATTTGTGGGCTGGAGAAAAATAGACTGAATCTAAAAGTAATACACAGAAACGCCTGACATCAATCTCTCCAACAGCTCTGCAAGCATTTGTTGTTTTTCTCGCATCCAAACAAAAAAACAAAAGACAAAACTAAGTATATCTGATTTTCTACATCTTAAAAGAACTTAAGACTTGTGCATGGAATCTTGTGAAAGCGGTAGATTTTTCAGCCTTAAAACGGATGTTAGAGCAGCCATGGATGGTAACTACTTTGCTTGTTTTTTTTTTTTATGTGGCGGTGCTTTGTTGATCCGCTGGTGGGAGACGCCGTGGCACTGCCACGTTTGGCAGAGCGCAGCACTCCACTTTTCACGGTCATGTACTGTCCTCAGTTGCCCGTCTTTCCAGTCTGCGCGTGAGGATTATTATTTCACAGGATTATTTGTTACTATTTCCAAGCCCCTCGTTAAGAAAATAAAAATAAACAACCCGGAGACGCATGCAAACTTTCTCGTCTTGACCGGCTGTCCCACTATTCCGTCTGAGCCGCCGACCCACTGCCAACGAGTGATTCCCTAACTTCCTCTGAAGAATTCCCACTCAAAACACACACACACACACACACTCGCACACGCACGCACACACAGCCAAAACACTAAGATGGCGCCTTAATCACTGTCAAGTTCAAGTGACTTATACCAGTCTGATACAAACAGCAAGGCGATGTCTGATAAATGCTCAGCATGCAGGGTGAAGGACAACATGAGGGGGGGAATAATCAACGTGTCAGTCTGGACATAGCTTTTCATGATGTTTTTTTTAATTTCAATCAAAATTTCCGTTCACATTGCTTCATAAATAGTTGGTAAAACAAATCAACCAACAAACAGTAGCCTAAAAAGTACAAGGAACGTCTGACTCTGGTAGCTAAATAGGCTAACGCATAGGCCTGCTGTTGTAACATGGTTTGCCTCAATGTGGCACAGTGACACAGTTCATCAGTAAAACATTTTTGCTCTTCAGGAATAACTCGGAGTGTGACCCATTTCTCCTAGAAAGTGTTACAACATCACATTCTAGCTGTGTTTATACATCAGATATTTTTCCTCTAACCTCTGGACATGGGGCATAAAGGTGTGGAGAATAAGAAAATGTACTTCTTTTAAATTAAGGTATAGAAAATAGCATATAAAACATATATTCCTTAAATTATTTAAATAAACTTATTTCATATATCACTGTCAAGAGGTACCGTTTTTTTTACATTTTGTTTTAAAAGTAGTGCTGGTGGTCTGAAATTGTTCTCATATGAGTACAATATACTTTGTGTATGCATAATATTTAATTCTTGAGAATAGGTTACAATGCAATGCTGTAACTCTTTTTGCCACTTAACACATTCTCCACCCATTCCACATAGATCTATTATTCCTTCCACTAAATTTTGTTTAAACACAAAAATGTCATCTTGACAAGTTATTCACACAAAACAAGCAAATGTGTAATCAAACTGCTCTATATGCAACACCACAACAAATAACACGCTTAGTTTCACAGAAGAATTACATTTAAAACAATGCAAGCTGACAGACAAAAAAACTTTTTTTATTTTTGAAGATACTGTGTTGTGACAGTTCCATTGTTGCCGATGCACACATTTAAACATAGGCTACTTGCACAAAGACATAGCTGGAACTATAAAGATTGCCATACAGGCACATAAATTTGGGCACATAACCCCAATTTGAAATACTGAAAATACTGTCACCTCGATTTGGAAATCATGAAGTCCGCACACTGTCTAAGACCTGTATAAGAGTGCAATAGGCTGATGGGTTTCTTCTTTTTTATCTTTTTATCCAGTACTGAGTTTATGCTAAGAAATTGACATCTATTTCTGATTCTATAAAAGTAAAATACACAAAAAGTTTAAATTTAACCAAAAATGAAGATATCAACAGAACCCCTTTTAGCTTCTCAGCTTAACTGAACTCAGGTCTACAAAGTCAATGATTTTATACATGTCAATGGTCTCATAAAGAAGATAAAAGTGACGGAAATATCTGCATTATATATAGACAAATTCCATAATATTCATATAGATGACTTTTTTTTAATCCAAATAAGACACATGTAGGCCTATTGGTTAAAAAGAGAAAAAAAACAAAGAAGGATACAATCGCGATGTTGGAGCTTTAGAGTTTATCATTTCTTCAATGTTAAGCTGGTTATGACCAAAAACTGTACAGTTCTGGTTAGAAAACATTTCCATAAATATCATTTAAGTTTCAGAACTTATAACCATAATTAAATTACAAATTGATAAATATGGCATCATGGATATGTATTTACAACGGTATTAACAAAAGGCAACGTTATATTCAACGGCAACAATCGTAACCTAATACCACATGTCTCCACCTGAAAACGGACGTTGACAACATATTCGACCCCATCAAACAAGGAAATACATTCACGAGTATAATATTTATTTATGTTTTTTTTTCTGTGTTCAAGTTCATGACAAAGACTTTGGCACGTTTCTTAAGACTGTTTGAAGTGTCAACAATCAATTGAAGAGGCGACAGTTGCGCGTCACCCTCATCATATAAAACAGCGTGAAATAAGCTTCCTTTTTCATTTGTTTTTTAAATAAAAATTTGAGAAAATACATAAAATGAAAAATAAAACAATTTACTTTTTTTTCTGAAATCTGTAAACTAAAAGATAAAAAAAACATTTATTTATACTGAGAAAGTATGGTGTTTTTTTGTTGTTTTATTTTAGTCGTGATTGATTTTGTTTTTCTTCAAAACTGCGGTGTAAAAGTCAAATTTCCTGATCCTGAGAACGGACGTGGCCTGCTTGGTGCTGGCCTTTGCTCTCATCTCCCGTTGTTGTTCTTCCAATCCCGTTTGTGTGTGTGTGTGTGTGTGTGTGTTGGTATGCTTGTGAAGTAACATGGAATAGTTTTTTTTTTTCTTTAAGGGTTACTCCTCATTTATCCTCATCCTCGTGGTCCGCGCTGAGAGAGGGTAAGCTGTTCTTCAAACGTACCATTCGTTAAAGTTTGGTGCCAGTCCTTCGCTGTGGCCAGACGTGTTTTGCACGGCTGACGGCGGCGTTTTTGTCGGGTCCTCGGTGCTGGCTGAGACCAGGACCGGCGGTGTGGACGACTCGTATCCGGAGCTGGCTGCTGGAGACGATTCCGAACCTTGAGACTCGTGTACCTGTGGAAATTTCCCAAGAAAAAAAAAAAAAAAAAAAAAGCGGTAAACACGAGCTCTGAGTTTTGCTGAGGCAGACCCCACACATATCCAACAATGTGGTGCACGTTAAAAATGCACGGGGATCTCAAACGGGGTTCCTTTGAGGTAAACACGCAGCAAACTTGACACACTTGCCTACATTGCACTTTGCAGAATCACCCACTTAGTCTGCATCAGTGCAGCCTCTCTCAGCATATATATAACCACATATTTATTTACAGACTATAAATTTTTTAAATAGCATTATCTACTTTCAAATATTGACAAACATGGGGGACTATTGACAGCTCATTTCAGTACAATCGAGATTTACGCATTTCCAACACAGTAATCGCCATTTTAGAATTGTTTACTCATGCAAAGTTTCTTCTTCTGCTTCTTTATTTTTTTGTCAATAAGACTTTAAGAAATGCCTTAAGTTGTGATGGTCCCTGTCTGTGGGAGGGGAGAGGGGGGGGGGGGGTGAAGGGGAGGGGGGGTGAAGACACAGAGAGAGAGAGAGAGAGTGTGTATATGTGTGTGTGTGCTAATGTGTTTAAGGAGTAATGAAGACGTTAATTACCTTCATGTGTTTCCTGAGAGAGCTGGGGTGTGTGTATGACTTGTCGCACACTTTGCAGATGTATGGCTTGTCTGATGTGTGCACATGCATGTGCTTTTTCCTGTCGCTGCTGTTGGCGAAGCGTCTGTCGCAGCCATCAAATTCACACTTAAACGGCTTCTCACCTGCGGGATGGAAACACACAGCGTCAGTTACCCCCCCAAAAAAAACCGGCACGCACACGCAGCCCCTGCAAACTCCCGATCCGTCCGCGCAGACGATTATATAACAGACTAACCTACATTATCTGCACCGCCACTATCCACGCGCTGCTCGGGGAGGCTTTATTTATTCAAGAGGCCTGCTCCTTCGAGCAGTGATGCGTCTGCCCCTCGCGTAGTAAACACCGGATCAACAGGGCACCGAACCAGGGATGGGGGGGGGAGGGGGGTGGCGAAAAAGCCACGAAACGCGGCCGCAAACGGATCTGTTATTGTCTGCTATAATGGCGCTAAAACTTTGACAGGCGAGCATCACACCAAAAACTTCTCAGCTCAAAGCTACAGGAATTAAGCAGGATTAACACCAAAGTTGTTCAACAGGATGTTGCACCCGCGTCTGAGCCTTCGTTAAATCAGCTCCGTGTTGGATAAGAATTCCCACACTTCACGCCATAAACAATCCCGAGGCTTGCTGAACACGCAAGGTTGCAAATTGTTAATAACAAAAGCACTCCTGCAATTGGAGCACTGAAACTACGTTGGACACACACACACACTCACACACACTCACACACTCACATCCTAACCGGCACATCCTCGCCTCTAAAATATAGTTCCACCTCGCAGTCATTTGGGTTGATTCCTACCTGTATGTGTTCTTTTGTGGATTTTCAAATTTTCCGACCTCGCAAATATTTTCCCACATCCGGGGAACGGGCACGGGAACGGTTTCTCGCCCGTGTGCACGCGGATGTGGTTGACGAGTTTGTACTTGGCCTTAAAAGATTTGCCCTCTCTGGGGCAGTCCTCCCAGAAGCAGACGTGGTTGCTCTGCTCGGGACCGCCGACGTGCTCCATGGACACATGCGTGACCATCTCGTGCATGGTGCTGAAAGTCCTGTCGCACGTCTTTTTGGGTCGGTTCATCTGGTTCTCGTCTATCCATTTGCAGGACAACTCTTGCTTGATCGGCTGCCTCATGTATCTGAAGAAGGCCCCCGGACCGTGATGCGTGGGCACATTCATGCCCATGTTCATGTTGATGGGGTGGTTGTAGTTGTGGAGCTGAGCCCCGTAGGGGTCCGTCCGGGGGCTGGCCACGGGACGGTACGGGTCGGGTCTTCCGAAAATGTCCCCGCGCAAGCCGAGGTGCATCTGGCCGTTCACTACGTGTCCGCCCGAAGACGTGTGGCTCACTCCTTGGTCGTGGAGTCCCGGGAACAACAAATGGTTGTCGGTGATCCCCGGCGGGCCGTGCAGGCTCCCCGCGGACGACGCAAAGATCCCGTGCTGCGCGCCCGGCGCGCCGGAGTCCCCCACGCCCCGGTTCCGGAACAGAAAGTCCCGCGTGGAGTTGAAGGCTCCCCCGCCGTACGAGCCCACCTGCCCGCCGTGAGAGTGTCCCAGGGCGGCCGCATATCCAGTGGCTTGCGGCGTGAACGCGGACGTCTGGCCGGAAGCGATGTCGTGCGCCACGGGGCTGATTTTGAAGGCGGCGGAGTGAGAGGAGTCGGAGAAGGGATTCAGTCCCAGACTCGGGTCTCTGTTGCCGATTTCGTGATGCCGCGGCGTCCCAAAACCCCCCACTCCTAACGATGCGAACTGCGGACCGCTGTCAAGAAGCATAGTCATGAGCTCGAAGGAAACTTAGGAGTCGGGAAGAAAACAGAAATAAAATTAAAATCCAGTTTAGCGGAGTGCGCGCGCTGCAGACACTGCGCCGGGATTTAACACGTTGTGCGGGGAAGAAAATCCGAAAATAAAAAAAAACAAACCAAGCAAAAGTGGGGGAAAAAAAAAATCCCAGGCAAAGAGTTGGGAGGCAAAAACTCCCGTTGACTGCGATCCGTGAGAAAGAGGATCAAACTTCCCCCCCTCACCAGGCGGATGATGTCCTTGGACTGATAAAGTCAATCACTCACTCCCTGAACATAAATGAACTCGGGAGGCAGTGCTACGGCAGCCAATCGGCGCGCAGCTACCCTCCTGACACGTGACGGCCGAGAGGGGTGTTAATTGGCTGGATTTCTGGTGATTGGCACGGTTTGGGATTGAAGATGGCAGGTCGTCCCGTTGGTTGCGTGTGATTGGTCCGTCCGGCTATTATTTTGCAGGTAGAACGGAACACTCCGGCGAGCCTCC